TTGGAAGCCTGGAAACATCGTGGCTCGTTATACTTTGCTTTTATGTATTAAAAATATAAATGGCAAAGGGGTTGTTCATTGAAAATTAATTGAAAAAGGAGCCAAAGCAACTGATTTTTGTGTTTTTATTGAAAACATTAACCTTCCTGACCAGCAAAAGTATTTTCTTTTACTCGATAATGCTCGGATTCATCATGCCAAGCAAGCATGCATAAATGCAGGTCTTTTTCCTATCAAAGAAGTATTAACTAGTAAGAATATCATGCCTATCTTTTTAGTTGCTTACACTCCGCAATTAAATCCTGTAGAATTATGTTTTAATTTCCTAAGAAGCCATGTAGAAAAACATAAACCGAGAACTTTCGAAGAACTAAAATATATTATAGAACAAGGAATAGAAAAATTGCAAGGAGAAGACATGACTGAATATTTTAGGCATTGTTTGAATTATGATTTCTCTAAAACCGAGCAAGGGTTTTGCAATTTGTAATATATTTTTTTCAATTCCTCAATAATCTGGTGGTCCACTTCACAGATTTTTCGTTGGTAGCGAGGAAGTTTATAATAGCAATCAAAAACATTTCGAACAAGAGTAAACCATCAGAAAAATAAGCCAATCGCCATAAGTATAATTCAAATTATATTGTATCAATCCCAACCTTTTTTGTCGGGAAAAATAGTGCCTCTTTGGTTAAATAGAAAAATCAGAAAGCGTTTCGCTGATAATCCCACAATATTCGGTTATACAAATTATCTCTTTTTCGCTCTCAAAGCTCTCAAAAATGCTTTCTTTGAAATAATTCTGCTAATTTTGCGTTCATTTTAACAACTAACCACTTTTTTTAGCCTTTTTCAATCGCTGTTATTTAATAAAGAACTCTTTCGCAAATGCCTTTTTTGCTTGGTGGATTTACTATAAGCCAGATGGGAAGTATAAGCCCGTCAATGTTTTAATTTGCCTTTGGAGAGAGTTTTAAAACGTTTAGTAATAGAACCTTTGGAATGAAGTTTGATAGTTGACATATATATTGATTATTTATTTTTAGTTTAGTATTAAAATGAATTATATTTATGATGGCAGTAGAAAACAAAAATACTTACCCTCAACCCAACCACCAAGAAAAAGAAAATAATGACAATAGTTCGGAAAAAAAAAGCCACTGGGAAAAATATCATCTCTATTACCTAATTTTCGGCAGTTTTTTTTTCACCACCTTAATCATTTTTATTATTAATTGAAATATTAATAATAAAATCAGAGGCGTTACTTGGCAACGATACAATTATTCACCCCCTATAAGTTCAGACAGCAGCAATGATGAAATTGACGAAATCCTTAGAACAATTAACCAAAAGGGCGGAAAACTCAGTGGTGGCGTTCAGGCTAGCAGATTTGAAAAACCGGACCCAAACCGGCAAAGTGAAGATTGAGTAGAAAAAACGATTATTCAACAAGGTGTCAAAAAAAGAGTGAAAAATTGGCTTAATGGCTTCAAATTTCTGTCCCAATATCAAACCAAAAAAGGGCTAGAATTGGA